ACACATAGCCGGCGTCACCTCTCGGTCCTCCGTCAGGAGGGCACCACTCCACTGATCTTGGCGGCGGCCAACGGGCACCTGGCCTGCGTGAAGGAGCTCATTCAGCAGGGTGCCGACGCCAGCCGACGGAGGAAGGTGAGAGCTCCCTCGGTCGGTCCCTCCGGTGGTGGACGATGCGGCCCGATGGGCGGCGAAGGATCGAGCTGGCGCTGTATGCGCGAGAGCCCACTGGACCAGGTGTCGTAAATGCGTCGTGGCAGGACTTCGGAGCACCGGAGCACATGCGCTTGCGTTAAATCCTGCTCGAATCTGGGCTGGCGCCCATTGGGGGTACACTGCCATGGTTGGCAGTTGTGTTATGTGGCCATTGTGTGGCTCTGAAAATTCGTGCAGCGTGAGTGCCCCACGCCATTTCAACCGCAATTGCGATGTAGTCATATAATATATTAATGCCACTAACACACCTCCAAACACAACAACCCATTGAAGCGAATCGGCCACTGTTCCTGCCTTTTATTTTTGGTAGGCTTGGTATCAAAATCATAACAGGCGACAAAACAAAAGGGCCCACGAATGACGTCAGCAATACAGACGACGTCGCACAACACGGTCTCGGTACATTTCTGTCGAGCTGGTGGCTGAAGCCGCTGAGCAGAGCCTGGGGTCATGTTCCCTCTAATTTTGCCCAAACGGACTTGCCTGTGCAGAATGTCGCAAGAGCCATGTTTATCGCACAGCGTAGCGGTTCCCCGTCAAAAAAGCTACGCCAGTTGAGGTCAGGCTACCTCCCAGGTCCTTATCGCAGGTTCTGGGACGTGGCCACGCTCACGACATGAAGGACTTTAGTCGCCGAGCCGACACTGTTACGGTTGGTGCCTTCCGCGGTCGGATTTCGCTGACGGAAATCAGCATCTGCGCCGCATTGGCCTCGGCTTGCCGACGACACCGGTGGCAAGGGCCGCGCTGTGTTGTCAGTGCCAACACCGCGCTTGGTGCCCCCCTCAGTGGAGGCTTGCGCGCGGTCCCGCGTCGCCGCGCCGTTCTCCGGTGCGGGCCGGCTCGTCGTCGGACATCGGCGGCGTCCTCGCCGGCCAGTGGGCGGGTATTCGACGCACGCGCGCCGCACTGGCGCTCCACGCCTCGCCGCTCGGCCCCGGGTACGGGCGGGGCCGGCTGCGAACGGTACTCATCGCCGGCGCGCGGCAATCACCGGCGGAGGCCGGCCGAGGCCGCCGCGGTAATCACCGCCGCTCGGCGCCGCCGCCGCGACAGATGATCTTAATAGCCGGATTGGAGCCGGCCTGTCATCGCATCCGGCGGCGGCGGTGGCGGCTGATAAGTGATCACGCTCTTTGCCAGCAGACGGGGGCGACGTCCGTCTTCTTCGCCGCCCAGGGCGGGCACGTGGAGGTGCTGCGGTACCTGTTGCGCCACGGCGGCAGACCTGACCTCGTGACAGCGGTGAGGTCTGATGGCCAGGCGGCTGAGGCAACTAATGCACGTCCCGATATCTGCAGCGGTAATGAAAAGAGGTGATGGCTGAGCATCGTAGTAACGGCGAGGGTTGACTGACGTCCTACCCGCTTCCTGGCGTTTGTTGGACATGCGCTTGCTGGCCTCTGGTGGCCAGACGCTCGTTGGACCAATGCTCGCTAGCTCCGGATAACGCTATGCAGAGTGTCACGTGACGCAGACTCACGGGCGCCTCCTGACGCGCGATGACGTGGCGCCAGCTGCTGACGGCTGGTGGTGCTGTGCGCAGGACGGCGCCACAGCGCTGTTCGTGGCCAGCCAGTGCGGCCACGTGGTCTGCGTCCGCGAGCTGCTGCAGGCGTCTGCTAGTGTGCACCTCCGCATGAAGGTAAACCGGGCTCCCTGACCTGCCCTGGTCTGACTTAGTCCGACCAGACCTGGCCTGACACAGCCCCCAGCGGTCCGCTCCGTCAGCGGGGCTCCGCGGGCTACACTAGACACGCTATAGACACCGCTCAATAAGTGAGAGCTCCGCGTGCCTTTGGTGACGGCTTGAGCGCGATTAAGTGCGCTGTGATCATAATGACGACGATATTAATGACTGCGATATGGTGCTCAAACAAGCGCACAAATGACAAATAAATACCCTGACAACGCATTCAGTTGTTGCTTCGTTGGCCGTTCCCAGTTGACAACAACTCCAATGTTTTGTCCCTTTAGGAAGAGCGACAATAAGCAATCATGATAACATCGGGCTCGACACTTATACGCTCTGCTCGATCTCTGTTTGCTCGTCTGCTCTGCTCTGCTCTGCTCTGCTCTGCTCTGCTCTGCTCTGCTCTGTCTGTCTGTCTGTCTGTCTGTCTGTCTGTCTGTCTGTCTGTCTGTCCGTCTGTCCGTCTGTCCGTCTGTCCGTCTGTCCGTCTGCCTGTCTGCCTGTCTGTCTGTCTGTCTGTCTGTCTGTCTGTCTGTCTGTCTGTCTGTCTGTCTGTCTGTCTGTCTGTCTGTCTGTCTGTCTGTCTGTCGATGTCTGCTCGATCCGCCGTTTATCAGCATCGCGGTTCTCACTTGTCAGCGCCGCGTTTCGTCATCACACATCGATGACCGCGAAAAATGAGGAGACGAGGCCTTACGTGACATCGGCGCATGCTCTGCTCCAGGACCGGTCAACGCCGCTGTTCCTGGCAGCCCAGAACGGTCACCGCGAGGTGGCAGCACTGCTGACCGCGGCCGGCGCCGACCCGCAGCAGGCCAGGTGGGCAGCGCGAGGACCCATGCTGCCTGATTGCACCATACGTAGTAACACGCGTAACCTGCACGCGTACCCGGTGCTCTGTGCCTGACATCTGCGTGACGACATTTGCATATTGATATGCGATAGACACGTGTAATGTTATCATCCGTGTGGTCGAGATGACACCGGAATTTGCGGTCAGTGTTTTGGGTGAATATGTGGACGCGATGCCTTGCTTGACCCGACGGAAATCGCGTCACGATGCGCACTGAGCGGCATCCGCGTCCACAGGGTGGATGGCGCCACACCCCTGTGGATCGCCGCCCAGATGGGCCACAGCAGGGTGGTGCAACACCTGCTGAAAGCTGGCACCCACGTGGACACGCCGCGCCACGTAAGTAGGGACTCACAATGCACCTCGTGAGCAGAGGCCCAGAATGCACCACCTGAGAGGAAGCCCACAATGCGTCACGTGAGTGTAGGCCCACAATGCGCCACGTGAGTGGGGGCCCACAATGCGCCACGTGAGTGGAGGCCCACAATGCGCCACGTGAGTGGGGGCCCACAATGCGCCACGTGAGTGGAGGCCCACAATGCACACCTCGCGCCGCATGATACGCCCGGCGATTCGCAGCACGTGCCTGACACGGGAGGACGAATTGCCATTCGCGGAGCAGACTGGGAACTATGTTTACGTTATTTAGATCTCACGCCGTGCATGTTGCTTAGAATGTGGAGCTGATTGTGTGAGCTTTCTTCTGTCAGGACGGTGCAACTGCACTCTTCAAGGCGGCGCACAAAGGTCATGTTGAGGTCATCAGGGCGCTCCTGCGGTACTCACCGAGCCTGGCAATCCTTCCGGTACGTAGCCAGGTCGGCCTCGGTCGGTCGGCCAGGTCGGCCTCGGTCGGTCGGCCAGGTCGGCCTCGGTCGGCCTCGGTCGGTTGGCGAGGTCGGCCTCGGCCAGTCGACCAGGTCGGCGTTTTCAGTGGCTATTAAACTGTGTCAACCTGGTGTCCGCACCATCTGCTTGTTGTTTACCCTGGCCGGTTCGTTCGTTGGTTGCTTACTAAGGTTTCAGATCTGACTATCAGTGTTGAGATGACAGCCAGCGCACGATTCTAAGCGCGGTGTTATGCGCACCACGAAGCCTATGCCCACTTGGGATCGCGAGCAGGGAGCGAGGAAAAGCACTACGACCAGGACGGGTAGGATCTGAAACGGGCAGTACACCAACTGTGCTAACCTTCCTCGCGCAGAACGGCGAGTCGGCGCTGCACGCGGCCGCCATGTTTGGTCACGTGACGGCCGTTCAGCTGCTGCTGGAGGCGGGTTCGCGCCCCGAGCTCACCAACGCCGAGGGCCTGACGCCGGCCGAGCTTGCCCTACAGGCCGGCTTCGACTCCGTGGCCGCCACCCTCGCTACCCAATAGCAGCAGGTCCGACCTCGACTGTGGCGCCGCCCACCCCGATCGCCGCTGCGTTGTAATCGTTCTTGACGCGTCAATATATTGTGCCTCGTGTGGAGTAGGCGAGCTGCCGCCAAATTTCCGTGTCTCCCTGCTTGTAACACCCGTAGGACATCGACGCTTCTTCCCGGCATTTCCACTGGGCAAGCCGGCAGCATGACCCGTCGAACACCAGCAAGGGCTGGCGGACGTCCATCTGCATCAAACGTGCGCTACAGGGAGACACGGCTGCTGCGCTGGTCTACAACGGAAGAAATGCACGCTTACGTTATCAGGTTACTGCAGAACGCGGATTGATCTGATCAGTGAGTGGTCAGCAGCGCGCAGTTACGTTATTTGTGAAGCTTGAGAGACCGTAACGCGGCACGCGACGTTTGCTCGCGGCGCCGACAAACAGCGAGGCGAGGCAGTAGGTGGCATCGCTCGTTTACTGTCAATTAAGTTTTTCTGATCGTGAATTTGTCCGCTGGTTCCTCGGCGCACCGAAGAACGGGATCTTCGGTGTCACTGTTCGCATGCAGGAATATTTTTCCTTCCCGCTGACCGGTACATAATACATCAATCGGTTTTTGTGACCACTAACTGCAGCGTTTTACAAACCAGCTTCCATATGTACCATGCGGACATCGCGATTCGTACCAAGGCCATTTGCGTTACCAACCGGAAACTCACGGCGAGATGCAGAGATAGCTAACATCCTGCACAACCTTCACCCTCCCGGATCATCACGGCCGCAGAGCCGCGCCCGGAAGCCGCCCACTTCCGGCGGACAGCTGCCCGTGCCGCAGCGCCATGCGCCTCCCAAACACCGCGCCGAGCCACTTTCAAATTCGACTTTATTCAATTCTGCCCGCGCGCCCGACAGGCCGCCGCGGCCTCCGGCGGAGGCGACTCGGCGCCAGCCGGGGGCGCCCGCCTGGTCCCTGTCCAGCTCGCCGCCGCCGCGGCGCCCGCGCGCGCACCGCGGCCACCGCGTACTAGCTGCTGTCGACACCAGTGGGACACCGTCGCTCAACAAAACCGATGGAAAATGTTAAATATTTGCAAACATGTACAGTCTGCCGAGGCGGGGCGGCGCCGCCATCACTGCCGCGGCCTCGGGTCGGGTCGGGTCAGGTCAGGTCGGATCGGGGCGGCACGCCGAGGGATCACAGCTCCAGTCAGCCGGCCCACCGCCGCGGCGCGGGCCGCCCCTCACGGCTCTCGGCCCGCTGGCCGGCCGGCCGGTCGCCTGGTCGGCTGGTTGGTGGGTTGCCGGGCCGGCCGGCCGGCTCACTGGTTGCTGGTGGCGGCGGCCAGCGGTGGCGCGCCGGGCGACAGGATGGGCGAGCTGGGCAGACCGCCGCCCACAGAGTTGGCCACCAGCGCGCCGGCCACGGCACTCGACATTGGCGTCGGCGACGAGGACATGGACTGCTGGCGCGCAGAGTCCTTCACGATCGGGTCTGAAACAGGGGCCAGGACCGTCACGATCGGGTCTGAAACAGACGCAGAGGCCGTCACGATCGGGTCTAAAACGGACACCAGGACCATCGCGATCTCGTCTGAAACAGGGGCCACGACTGTCACGATCTCGTCTGAAATGCGGGACGCTTCCTTCACGATCGGGTCTGCGACGACAGGAACCGCGTCCTTGGCGATTGGGCCTAGAACAGGGACCGCGTCCTTGGCGACTGGGTCTAGAACAGGGACGGCGCCCTTGGCGATTGGGTCTAGAGCAGGGACTGGGTCTGAAACACGACCGGGTCTTCCACGATTGAAGATGAAATACAGGTCTCAATCCTCATAATCGAGTCTTAAGTCGGGAGACACATTATCATACAACCGCATGACAAAAACATACATCCATTCAGATGGATGCCAAAATTCTGGCTTCACGAATGGTGCTGTTTCGGTTTGATTTATCATCGGATTATTTTCGACAAAGTCCCTTCTTATTACATCCGATCCATTCTATCCGTCTCACAACTGTACAGTTAGCTACAAAGTCGCAAGTTAAGGGGAGTGTTCCACATTTACATGGGGCTATGAACTGAAACAGCCATCTTGAAGACATTCCGGTGCTGTTCACAACCCTGTACAAAGTCGCAAGTTAAGGGGAGTGTTCCACATTTACATGGGGCTATGAACTGAAACAGCCATCTTGAAGACATTCCGATGCTGTTCACAACCCTGTCCTTAAGACATACGCCACTCAAGTTTCTGAGCTACACGCGCGTGAAAATGGGGAAGCATTTCGGGGAGAGTATTGCAAAGTCACCCTGGCATTCATGACCTCATGACAGCGTCATTCAGATCCTGCTGTTGCATAAGCTACACGGGGATCAAGACCAACACAAATAAAATTGTCGAGGTGTTTATGTCTGGCGTCCGTGAGTGCGATTTCCGGATATAACAGCCACCACTTTGGCTGTCATTCAATGTTGGCTCAACAAGGCTCTTAATCAATGTTGTGCAAGGAACGACGACGTAAGCAAACCATGGCGCATTGAGAAGCATATCCAGTTAACGGAGAATCGTGCTGCTTTGAGCCGTCCTTTGCAATACAAAAGTACGCCAATATTTATAAGTGAGCCTGTTTCATCATATGCCGTGCTTGCTTCAACACCTTTTGATGTGGAACATTACCTGTAAGTCAATACAGGCACGGTGCCGTGCCAAAGTTTAGGCGTACGTGGAGCGGTGCCTGAGCCTAAGCAGGCCTGAGCTATGCCTGAGCAGGCCGTCCCTACGCCATGCCCGGAAAAAGTGGCACAAACGACTGAAAACTGTAATAAAACAGAAGCTGCTAAGCTGCTCCATTTACAGAAATACGACGCCGCCAGGGCGTGTCAAGCTTGCTGAAGTCCAATTTTCTATCTTTTACCATATTCGCGAGATACCACATCCCACAACTCTTACGTAAGACGTAAAGGGTGCAAATGACCGATGCATTTGACACGCCATTGAAACTTCATAACTAATATAAGCGACAGCTCTCTAGCCCAGTTCCCCGTCCCTGAAATATCCCACTCGAGGACATCCAGGCAACCACAGTTACTCGATCCGCATGACCATATGGAACACAAACTTCAAATTCAGGTTCGCACTTCAAAGTCGGACATAAATACTAGCGTATCACATTTTTCTGGAGCTGTGTTGATATCCCTTCCTGTTAGCTACGAATCGTGGAATTGAAAAGGTATGGTTCGCAATCTATTCATGCCTCACATCTTCTTTGATTTCAGGCAGCGCAGTTGTCTTGTATCAGCAGCAAAAGTCAAGTTTAATTTACCACAAGTAGACAGGATATCGGCCTGAATGCAGAAAACGGTGACAAAAGTCAATACTTAAGCACATGATAAATGTACGCTTCTTACAAGTACGATGAATTTTTGTGCTTAAATATCTTCAACTGTCTTCAAATGGATAGCATTGAGCAGCGGCCAACGTGCTGTTCAAACGCTCACAACTTGGTCAATTATGGTTGAGTGACAGCAATCGGGCCTCTCCCATAGGCTGCATTTTTCACTCGTGCAACCTCTGCCTAATATTAAGGAATAACAGTAGGTGTGGACAGGTAAAAATATCCTCCCTAGCCAATCGGCACCTCGTTACAGGGGTGGGCGTTCGACGATCAAACAAGCCGCCAACAACCATGACAGCCGCCTGAGTGTCAGTGGCGCAGTAATCACAGTGCGCGTCTGGGAAACCAAAGGCGAGAGGTTCGATTCCCCATGGTGCCCACCCTTCATGTCAACATGAGTCAGGCGATGCCATATAGCACCAGCTGTTGGGTGTGTCGTAAACCCCCGACCACGATCATGGTGACGAAACCAGGCGGTCCGCACTAAAGCAAGATAAAATTAAATATTTACTCATTATGGAGACAGCTGGCGAGCACCGTGGCGATACCAGCAAACGTTATTCATAAATCCTCCCCCGTTTTGACATTTGGCTTCATTATGGCCGAAACATGATCCAAGAACGTCAGTTTGAGCTGGCTGCTGGCAGACTCCTGCCACAGCTGCTGACATAATTTAGCTACGTAGCATCGACACCGCCAAGTTGCGCAGGAGCCAGCAGTATGCAGCCAGAGTGTGAGACAGCTCCCACTGCACGTAACCTCGGGCTCAGACCGCTGCAGCCGCACCGCACCGTCTTCTTGGACACCTTGGACACCGCACCCTCGGTTCTGCCAGCTGCCAGCCATCACACCCGCGCGCCGACCCACCGCTGCAGCCCCACCGCACCCCACGTTCCGCCAGCCGCCAGCTATTACACCCGCGCGCCGACCCACCGCTGCGGCACCAGTGGCGCCGGATGCGACGGGCCGACGAGGCCGACAGGCTACCGCCGGCCCAGCCGGAGATAGTCACTCACAGAAGTACTGGTGCTCCATGGCCTCGCGGGCCGTCAGCCGCTCCTGGTGATCGTAGCGTAGCAGCTTGTCGAGGAAGTCGAGCGCCTCGGCCGACACCAGGTGCTGGTTGTCGGCGTGCACGAACCGCTCCCAGCGCTTCCGGGAATGTCTGCCGGCGGCGGCAAGCGGGCGTCAGTCAGACGCGGCAGGCGCGGCGAATGGCGGCGGCGTGTCGCGCGGCGCCACGCGTCCAGAAATAGCGCGGCGACAGAGCGAGCCGCAAAATATACTTGTTTTTTGTGGCATTATTGCCCTCCTTTCCGTTAACACCCTGCTCATAAAGCAAATATAAAGCTTGAGCATGGTTTTGCAGCAAGAACACATGACAGCTATCACATAAAATGTGATCAACAGGTAACTCAGCATCAAGTCTTAAGACATCAGTCATTAGCAAAATAAATGCAACCGCACTGTCACACGTAAACAAGGCAATTAACACCAGATGGGTCTAGCGTGGTGTTGGAAGTCCCACAGACCAATGTACACTAGGGGCCGAACTTCCCAAGATGGGCTTCCCATCGGCTTATCGGCTAGATGGGCTTGTTGCAGACACCAGGAGCTGTCATTTGGGGCGGATCCTTGTCCTTGTCCAAACGGGCGATTTTTACACCAAATATCCCTCAGAGGTAAAATGGCAATTGGGAAGCGTTTCTCAAACTGCGGCTGGTGTGCTGAAGCTCTACAGGCCGAGTGCCACATTACCTAAGACAAAAAAAAAAAAAATACACAGCTATTCCCTGTCTAAAATGGCAAATCCACCACAAGTTGACCTATCACAAGTGCACGGCCAAGCTGTGGACTAATTGGGCAACAGAACACGTCCCTTTACGGGTCGGAGGAATGTGGTACCCGGCTTGTCAGGTGTTACCGACAGGGACAAAGCTATTGCAATATTCTCACCCATTTTTCATCGTTGGTCCCCCCAACTTGGACACCTTGGCGGAGCCCCTGCAAGTACCAGGCTACTAGAAACGAACATACCATTTGACTTTCCAACAAACGTCAACATTAACATATGGAAGCATTAACGAAAACGCTAACGTTACTCGCATGCAGACGGTAGCCAGGTCGTGTCGGGCCTGCACGAGCGAAACACAGCAATCGCAGACCGGCGTCCGCGTACCCATACATACCTCTCCGTGCACAGCATGAGGCCATCTGAACAAGGCGAGCGCAGCTACTGCGCGGGCACTACTACCGCGCCTGTCGGCCCCGGCCAGCCCACCGGTCCTCGCACCTGCCGAGTATATCGTTGAAGCGAGGATCCAGCTCAATCTGGTACTTGTCCAGGTACTCGAACAGCTCCTCGGTGCCGAGCACCTTGGCTATCCGCACCAGCTGGTCGTAGTTGTCGTGGCCGTGGAAGAACGGCTCCTTCCTGAAGATCATCGAGGCCAGCATGCAGCCCAGCGACCACAGGTCCAGCGAGTAGTCGTACATCTGCCGACACGGACAAGCGGGCGGGTCATGGACGCCGCATCAGCGCCGCCCGTGGAGCACAGCCCCCATAGGCTTCTGGAGACGAGTAACAAATCTACCAGTTTCGATTCGGCAAACACACACACAAACAGTTTAGCGCTTGCTTTTGACTAGCTGGTAAATTTGCAGAATATCTGAAATCCTTGGGAACTAATCGCAGTAAAAATTGTATTGTCGGTGACCCATGAGCAATTAACGGGCAAACATCACGCCCAACAAGCCACTTGGCAGCACGACGCTCTCCAGTCCGAACTCACATCGCCAAGGTGTCTGCCACCAATAAACCGTTCAGAGCACGTGCTCATATCAGGCTTAGAGGCAGTGCTCCATATTTGTATGAGGCTTTGCAATCAAATAGGCATTTTGAAGATCATTCGGTGCAGTTCACAGCCCTGGTCTTTTAAGGACCTAACTAGCCACTCTAGCTTCCGAGGTACACGCTCGCCAAGATGTGCATACTATCTCGTGCAGAAAACCCTGCGATTCCATTAGTCATGTGGCGATCGAGACCAAGAAAAATAGAATTGCCAAGTTGATCATACTTGGAATTCGTGAGCAAAATTTCCAAATATAACAGTGTCAATGGGCCTTCAATCAATGTTTTGGAAGGTACGATGATGCAATAAAAAATTATGTGTTGAAGACCATGCTCACTAAATGGGAATTTTTGTTGTCTACAGCAGTCTTTTTCACTTAAAAGTGTATCAATAATTAAAAGCGAACACGTTTTATCATGTCTGATATTTGCCTCAATATCTTCCAATTTATAATATTTTCTGTAACACAGGAGCGGCTCAAGTAAAATATGGGGCCAACAGTAAGCAGCCTGGATGTAAATGCCCATGAGCCATCCTATCCAAACCTAAAGCTCATAACTCGCCCAGACGAAACATAACGACGGGGATCCTGACCCCGGTGTACAGTCACATGCTGGTGACTTGGGCTTTAGGCCGCGCCGACTGCACTGGTCACATGATGGACAATCATGCAGTCAAGTGGGGCAGTACAGCAGTGCTACACCAGACGTGCCACAGTGGAGCAGTACAGTGTGGCTACACAAGACATGCCACAGCACAACAGTACAGCACTGTACTGTCATCATGCCAGCAGTACGGGATCGCTACACAAGACGTGCCACAGTGAAGCAGTACAGTGTGACTACACAAGACATGCCACAGCGCAACAGTATAGCACTGTACTGTCATCGTGCCAGCAGCACAGGATCGCTACACAACACGTGCCACAGTGGAGCAGTACAGCACTGCTATGCAAGACGCGCCACAGTAGAGAAGTCAGTACTGCTGCACAAGACATGCCCCGGTGAAACTGTACAGCAATGCTCAGCATTCCAATATTCAGCCACTTGGGGGGCGGGAATGCAGCACCTTTTCCAGCTACAACACCCCGCCTCTGGGCTCACTTCCTGTGGCCCCTCCCCTTGATCAAAATCGGCCAATCGGCATCGAACCGGAAGGCTGTCAAACCAGCATCTATGCGCCTCAGGCTTGACAAATGGACTGAGTAGGTTAAACGTGTAAGCTGGGGTCAAAGGGCAACGGATTAGCACCAACGAATTGTGTGCGGGGACCCCGATATACCAGGATTCTGGTAGGGTGAATTTATATTTTCATCCTGCACACCCTGCTGGATGTATTTTGGAACACTGGCAATGCCACACAAGACGTGCCGCAATGGAGCAGTATAGCGCTGCTACAAGACGCGCTAAAGTGGAGCCGTATAGCACTGCTACAAGATGTGCCACAGTGGAGCAGTATAGCACTGCTACAAGACGTGCCACAGTGAAGCAGTACAGCACTGCTACACAAGATTGTGCCCCAGCAGAGCAGCATATCACTGCCACAAGATGTGCCACAGTGGAACAGCATAGCGCTGCTACACAAGATTGTGCCTCAGCAGAGCAGTATATCACTGCTACAAGATGTGCCACAGTGGAACAGTATAGCGCTGCTACACAAGATGCGCCACAATGGAGCAGTATAGCACTGCTACACAAGATGTGTGACAATGGAACAGTACAGCACTACTACATAAGATTGTGCCACAGCAGAGCATTATATCACTGTTACAGAAGATGTGTCACAGTGAAGCAGTACAGGATATCTACGCAAGACATGTCACACTACAGCAGAATAGCAGTCAGACAAGATGCTACAGTGGAACAGCACAGGGCCGCTACACGAGGCATGTCAAAGTGGAGCAGTGCAGTGTGGCTGCACAAGAAGTGTTACAGTGGAGCAGTATAGCACGGTTACACAAGACCCTACAGTGGAGTAGTACAGGATCACTACACAAGACGTGTCACAGTGGAGCGATACAGTACAGCTACACAAGACGCGTCACAGTGTAGTGCAGGATCGCTACACAAGACGTGTCATAGTGGAGCGATACAGCACAAGTATGCAAGACGTGTCAGTGGAGTAGCACAGGATCGCTACATAAGATGTGTCACAGTGGAGTAGTATAGAATCACTACACAAGACGCGTCACAGTGGAGTAGTACAGAATCGCTACACAAGACGCGTCACAGTGGAGTAGTACAGAATCCCTACACAAGACGCGTCACAGTGGAGCAGTACAGGATCACTACACAGAACGTGTCACGGTGGAACGATACAGCACGGCTACACGAGGCGTGTCACAGTGGAGCAGTTTCATACTGTTACGCAAGATGCCGATTAGGACCTCACATCATCGCCCATGCCAGCTCATTCACCAGGAGAGCATTTCTAATGCCGGGAGCCAACACCAGCCGACATCTTTGTCCACACCGCACCACAGGCAGCCCAGCTTCTCTCCCAGACCCGCCCCTGCACCCACCTGGTAGTCGACGAGTAGCTCGGGGCCCTTGAAGTAGCGCGAGGCGACGCGCACGTTGTACTCCTGGCCCGGGTGGTAGAACTCGGCCAGGCCCCAGTCGATGAGGCGCAGCTTGCGGTTCTCGTGGTCGATCATCACGTTGTGGGGCTTCACGTCCCGGTGCATGATGCCCATGCTGTGGCAGTAGTCGAGCGCCTGCGGAACGAACGCAAATCACCGTCGCGCACGGCTGGTGGGGGGTGGGGGAGAGGCGGGGGCTGAAGACGCGCACAACTTTGGGAAGAAAGCATACCGAATCTGTGGGAAAAATACTGGTTGCATATTTTGAGGTAGGATGGGCCACTTTTCATTATCACCTCTTCTGTCCCTCAATTCATTTTGTGAAACTGCACCCCTGCTCTGACTAGCAATAAAGACATGAAGGGCTGCAAGATTCCACTTGGTCAATGGACCGGACAAAGGTCAAACTATGACTCAAAATGCTACTGTACATCTGCCATGACAATATGAAACCATACACAAAGACCATTCCATGGACCAGCATCACGAAAATCCCATCCTGCTACACATCAAAGAGAACGACGTCCTAGCTGGATTTTCGTGGCTGTCTCGGCCATGATACATGGAAGAATCAGCTCGCCAATAGCTATGAAGCTTTTCAACCAGGCCACCTGCCTCTTGGTCATCCCATTATCAGAAGTCACCGCAATATGCATCTCCCTGTTTGGGGTCAAGCGATAGCCATCTCTACACAAGGCGTGGCGTGCGTTAGCAGCCCGGGCGCTCACCTTCAGCAGCTCGTAGAGGTAGTACCTAATGTCATAGTCGTTGAGTGTTTGATACAACTGCTTGAAGTCTGTGTTGTTGACATACTCGAAGATGAGCGCGGGCGTCCGGGACACCGGGTCCTTGACCACTGCCTGCAGGCTGATGACGTTCGTGCCACCGCGTAGGTTCTCCAGGATTTTTATCTCTCGCTTGATCTTCTTTTTCTTCACTGGCTGATGAGCGTGGAGTTGGGATCAACAGCTAGCATGCACAAAGAAGGGGTCCATGCACACAAACCACAACTTGTGGCACCTTGTCCCTCCACCCAATAGGCTACTGGTGCCAATGCTGGTGGACATCTCAGTGGCAATGACATATTGTGTATGATCATGATGATCCACCTGTTACCTGCCATCACATATTGTCATGCCATTCAGGAGCATCTAGAGATCACTCAAAGCTAACATTCCAGGTCGCTATTATGCAACAACTGCAGCAATGATCTTTTACTTCTCAGAGCTTTATGTGAGTGTGAGGATCACCTGACAAATAATAAGCAGAAAACATACTGCCCAAAAATCAGATATTCCACTGCACTGTGTACCTTGTCCATTGGTTGTGCAGGTCAATTTTAGTGAGGAAAACAACATTTCATACATTACTGCCACAACTGCCACTCACCTTCAAAATTTTGACCACACATTTTTCATTATTGGTTATGTTGATGGCCTCAAAGACTTCACTATATTTTCCTCTACCTAGCTTGCGCACTAACTGATAGTCATCTTGTTGCCTGGAATGGTATGCAGAGTTAAGGTCAGATTCAAGCTCTCCAAAATGCCTTTGTCAAATGACGAAGGTCAAAAAAGATCTTTGTCAATCTGCTGACACATTCACTACCTTTCTTTCCACCAACCCTGTAAGAGGGCAAGCAAATGCGTGATACAAAGTCACACCACTTATACTGGCATGTGCATCTGATAATAATGCCCCTTTCCTGCAGCAGCTCAAGCCTGAATTTTTCATGTCACCATAACGACAAACAATGAAGCAACCGAGTTCCAATAAAACCTTGGCATCCTGCAACAGAGCAGGAGCACGAGCCCACAGGAGCTGACAACACCCATTGGGATCACCCTGGCCCAGCTGTGTGTCGTTGGGGCTTTATGACGCACTCAGCTGCTGAGGCCATACAGCGTCGCCTGCCTCTCACCCTGGCGGGAAGGGCGGACGCCGCGGGGAATCGAACCCCTGTACCTCTGGTTTCCCAGAGGTACAGGGTTTGATTCCCCGCGGTGCCCGCCCTGGCCCAGCTCGTGCACTGCCACGTACCCCCAGTTGACCACGTGAGACTCGTAGTCCCAGTAGTCGCGTGGTCGGTGCGAGTTGACGTCGGCGTAGACGCGCGCGCGGCTGACCAGCGGCATGGCCGCGGGCCGGGCGCCGGCGGCGGGCGGCAGGGAGGCCACTGGACGGCCGGGGGGCGGCGCGCTCGGGCCGCGACCGGCGGCAGCGCACAGTGGGGAGTGCGCTCTCCGGCTCCAGCCGCCGCTCAGCGCCGGGCTCAGGCGCAATAAGCCAGCTGTGAGGCCTGCACAGTGGTGGGAAGCTGTGCACACCAGGGCACTAATGGTGCTGCTGAAACCAGGAGAGCACAACAAATTGCAGTGGATATGATACAGCTCAGCTTAAGTGAAATACAAATATGAAGATTGTCATTTATAATGACTCAGTAACACTCATCAATGGCAAGTATTTTGTAAACACCTAAAGTAATTCTAAAATTGCCATTTCAACCAACATTACATGGATATTTCCCCATATGAACCAGGAAAAGTACAGGTCACTATGACATTTTTGTGGATAAAAGGGAAGTCCATGATCAATGCCATAAAAATTGCGATAATCTTTTAAAAAAATTTAAACTGTAAATCTGGTTGAGGTATTCAAGCACAGAATAATCTTCACAAGTAATAATCTATATTGGTGCATACAAAATATATTCAAGGCAAGATATGTTATATGGATGCCTAATTAAAACTGGTACTAAAATCAGGAGCCATTGTTTCATGCATGATAGGGTCAAGTTGTGTAGCATATCTAAAACAAATATCCAAATATCTTAACATGTATACTACATTTAAAGGTTATTTATGTGTACACATCTTCAAAGTATTCTAAAATACTTGCAATTAAATGAATATTGACACTATTTCAGGTATCTTGGTCATAGTGACCTTGATTCTGAGCCCAATTGCCATCAAGATAAGTTGCCATTTTCCTGCCAAACTAGTCAAACCATTACAACCCAAAAACAAGGATAATATTAAAATAACTGCAGCCTGCCATAAAAACATCATGTTGCATCATTGTCTTTTGAGTCAGCAAATATCATAAACCTGAAAAATATCAAAACACATTTTCCCACTTGTATAGTTAATTGATAAACTACAATAGACAGAGAGTTATCAAATTTCTTAGCCCAGAACATCTGACTCAAGTTTGAAGGAAGCTATGCCCATGTCAAAACCTCACTATGCACCAAAAGCCATATTTTCAGGCACAAATGTCACAATTTTACAAAAGGCCAGACATTTTAGAGAAAGGGAAATGCTTGTTAATCATCACATTCAGTTTATCAAGAATGGAAAATTTATGTTGATGATCACAACTATTTAGTCCAAACATACTTGATTTCTGGCTACTTGGTAGATTTTTTCTTAACTTGCTATCTACCACATGTCAAAATTTAAATACTAAAACTGTACAGTGTAGATCTAACTTCTATAAATGCTTTTCATGACTGAAGCTTACAATGTAAAGTAACCTATCACAAAAACAGCAAAAAAAAAGAGAATTTGATTATGTCTATTGCTGTCTGGAGTAAAGGACCTGCATCTGTAATGTACAGGGTACCTGTGTACAGTTATTCCAATTGTTTGTGGCAATTTAAACATACCAATTTTGAAGCCACAGCAATAAGAAAAAAAACATAAACAACACTTAAGTCTGGGTGGGTCCAAATAATCCAGAATGACAACTGCAATTACCCAAGTTATCCACAGAAGTTTGAGTCACCTGCTATCACACCACACCCTTTTCCACAGTAGCCATGATACAATCCATTATATTAGACATCATGCTTTAGTGCTACAGGCTTCTAACATGCACTAGCATGATTTTATTGAGCAGAATTTAATTCCCAAGACATCGGAGAGGACAATTAAACTATTCAAGGCTATCTGCATGCCCCCAGCCAATCTCCTGCGAAGGTCGGAAGTGCACGAAGACGAAATCGACGCGAGAAGTATTACTGTCCATTGTCTCAGAGCTATATTATCGCGGATGTTTCGTGGGGACACGGCATATTTCTGACAACACTGTCGGGATAAAAAATGCATAATCCCGCTAGCAACGAGTGGGCGGCGAATATTCAGTAAAAGATCCACACGTGGCAATAGCAACGCACAACAACGTCAGCCGTATGAAGAAGCCCAAGCAGTGCAGCTACCCCACGCGACATTGATACACGCTGTAAGTGTATTTTTACCTGTTCCCAGTCAGACGACTCTGTGGAAACTGGTGCTGCCCCTTCCGACACCATCAACCACCTATTCCCGACCCGGTGGCCCGGCGCCCAAACATGCTCGCATCGGCAAGATGGCTGAAAGAAGTGCAACTTATTTTAAGAAAGAGATAAAACAAAAGTTTTCTTTTAAAGCTGTGCTCATTGCACTTGAGAAACTAACATTTAAAATATTTGAACAATGATTAGATCTCAGGTAACCCAGCAAACTGTAAAAATTGAATTTGCAAAAAGAACGTTCCACCGGCTTGCAAACAGATAGCGCTTGATGCATGTTCCAAGTGGAAAAGGTAACTAAATACAAGATGTCTGACCACACCCCACGATTTTGGGGTATTTGCGAACTAAAAATATTATCATCCACGCATCACCTCGATAATTTCTTACTTTTGTGCCTGAATTAGCTTAAATTGTATGACACGCAAATAAATCGCAAAGTGCAGCTGGTACCCACGGACTTTGAGTAGGATGGTGGTGGACTGCACGTTAGCGCTTCTACGCTAGTTGAAAACATCGTCAAAAAGCGGAAGCAACCATGACTTCATGCTCGTTTTGCGATCTAACCTCAGTGACGGATCCACCTGAGGGGGAGGGGTCCATAGGTCCATGTCCCCCTTCTCTTGGGCCCCAAACACCCCACATACTCCAAAGGGGACCATAACCGGCCAAACGAAGTTAAAAAAAAGAAGCAAAATTGATGTCTTTGGACCGTCGGGCGACCAAGAACAGCTTTTAGCGATGATAAATTGCTCACGAGCAGAACAAATAAGTAGTCATTGATAGCAAAATAGCAAAATTTTATATATATATATATATATATATATATATATATATATATATATATATATATATATATATATATATATATATATATACATATGTAGTCAGTCCCCGATCAGCACTGTGGTCGGGGACCTACATAATGACTTGCTTGGTCGCTCTTGATCGATCAGGGGCCATCCACGGATTCTTCCCACTCGCCCGGGAGGCTCTACAAATGCTATTCCCGGGGGACCATATGTTATCTGGCGCGACAATCTCGGTTGCTCAGGAGCCCTTCACATTCGTCTTAGTTTTTACTTGCTTGGAAAGCCCTGTGCTGTCGCTGAGGCTATAGCAGTTGACGTTCCGAGGCGCTCGAAGCCCAAGAGCCCTCGACATTGGTGTGGGGCTTTTTCCATTTGATTTCAGTCGTGGCGGACACTACACTAGCCTGTCGGAGCCCCTCCTGCCAACCTGCCCGGGCATGATCTATCACACAGAGGCCCGACACCGTTCCCGGATAACAAGTCGAGTGGAAAAGGTCGAAGAGAAATGAGTTGAACGGAAAAAGTCGAGCGACAAAAAGCAGGAAGAAGAAATCAAAGTCGACAGAAAAAATGTCGCATGAGAAATCATCTACAGGAATGCAATCTCGGCAGGTGTTTAAGTCGAATCGGGAAATGTCGACGGATAAAAATATTAAAAGGATATAAGTTTAACAGCAGAAATGTAAAAAGGAAGACAAATTGTGTAGTCTAGAGCAGTCTTCCACTTAAAAGTGTACCAATGGTAATAAGCATGCTTAATCCATATTTTTATCATTGCTTCAATATCTGCAGAGACATTTCCTTCACGGCGGCTTTTGTAGCCCTGCTACCTAAGGGCTTAAGGGCCGGGCCTGCGCAGCGGCGCGCGGCACATTTTCCCCGACTATCTACGTATGTCCGTGAAGCTACCGATTTATTTAGCGAGTTATTCAGCAATGAGTTCTGATTTCTCTGAAAATGGTCAAGATCAATTATAATACGAGAGCATCGAAAATAAAGCTAATTTTACAACGTCATGTAGCCTAAAGGTCAAAACCTAGGTCAAAGGACGGGAATCTCCTTATCACTCAAAAATCACCGCTCGATCTAAAATTTTCGAGCACCAAAAAATTCACATGCGCCAGAACCTTGCCGATCAAGATCATCCTTCAAGGTCAAATTCAAGCACACAGAACGGGGAACTTCGTACCACCCAAAAATTACTGGCCGATTTCATGTTTGCCTGCGTTAAAATTGTGGTATCCTTATAATTTAGTAGTTGCTTCTCTTGTAAATTGTCCGCTGCGTCTGAACCTTGGAACAATAAACAGTCCGGTATATGACAAAGTGGCGGCGAGTACGGGACACACGCAGGTTTGATTTAATTCGTTATTTGAAGTTATATAGACCTAGATTAGCTATATAAACTATCAAGAAGTGTGCTAAGACATAGAGCGTATTTTGACGGTGGTAATATGACCAAGTTTTGGCAAATTGCACTGGAAAATCAAGATGAGTCTGGGCCTTGATGTGCCACAAGCTTATCAGAAAGGAGAGGACTTCGAGTTGTGGCTGGGTAGCTTTGAACTTTATGTGTGTGCAGTTGGAGTGATTGGGACAGAAAGAAAGAGAAGCATCTACTAAATTATAAGGATACCAGATCTCCCCCTTCCCTAAATAAAGCTACCCTTTTGATACACCCGTTGTTTCCGTCAATAATTGAGTTCACACGCTTTAGCAATTAACTTTTTTAGACATCGTCTGAACGGTTAAGAAATACAATGAGTTCGCAAACTTCACATAACCAAAATTCCAAACCGAAAATTCCCCTCCGCAACAATTTCTCTTCTATGCCACTGATGTGAATCAGCACTGACTATTTAGCATGATACTGTGACTTTACAGAACTCTTTGGACGTAATCGCGATATTTACAGGAAGGTTTTACTATACGTCCACTTCTAGTTGTCACCGGATCAGGCGTCACGGCTGGCGTCGGTTCGTCCGACTCGACTCTCGGCGCGGCCTGGTCCTGTGGCTGGTCGCTGCTGCGAGGCGTCTCGACACCCCGCGTCTGCTGCTCCTCCGGTTGGTCCCTGCTGCGAGGCGTCTCGACACCCTGCGGCTGCTGCTCCCCCGGTTGGTCCCTGCTACGAGGCGTCTCGACACCCCGCGTCTGCGGCTCCTCCGGGTGGTCCCTGCCACGAGGCGTCTCGACACCCCGCGGCTGCTGCTCCTCCGGTTGGTCCCTGCTGCGAGGCGTCTCGCCACCCCGCGGCTGCTGCTCCTCCGGTTGGTCCCTGCTGCGAGGCGTCTCGACACCCCGCGGCTGCTGCTGCTCTAGTTGGTCCCCGCCGCGAGGCATCTTGGCACCCCGCGGCTGCTGCTCCTCTGGCTGGTTTCTGCCACCAGGCGTCTCGGCACCCCGCGGCTGCTCCTCCGGTTCCTCCCCGGCCCCATCGTCCGTTGGAGAGCGTGGAGATTGCTCCTCCGCGATTGATGGCTGTGCGGGCTGGTGTACGTCCTGTGGTCCGCCGGCTCCCGAGGTGCGCTCTGGTAGGCCTGCCATACTGGCTGCCTGAAACATCCTTTGTCCATTTTCTGCCGTTTCTTGCATGCGGCTTGCTCTTGGTGGCTTTGCTTGTTCTCTTGGCTTCGCAGTAGCTGTCCAGCGTGGCGTGACCACACCAATCCATCCACGGTCACTGTGTACGATGCTGGACCGGTGCGGCCTATCACCTTTCCTTGCTTCCATTTCGCTCCTCCTGCGTAGTTCCGAACGAGAGCCGTTGATCCAACCTCGAACTCGGGCAACTGTCTGGGGTTCTTAATCTAATTCATCTGGGCGTTGAGGACATTCTCTGCCGTGTTGGGTCTCAGCAGATCCATTCTCGTTCTCACTCGTCGGCGCAGTATGGCCTCGGCTGGCGCGATTCCTGTCGTCGCGTGTTCTGTATTCCTGTGCTTCATCAGGAACGAACCCAAGAGAGTTTCCACTGGTCGCCCGTCTCCTGTTGCCATTGCCGCCTTCAGACTGTTCTTCATGGTTTGGACCATTCGTTCCGCCAGACCGCTGGACTGTGGGGACGATACAGAGCCACTTGGATGTGCTTGATGCCCAGCTTCACCATGAAGTTTTCAAACTCCTGGGACCTCAGCTGCGGTCAGTTGTCAGATATTAGTTGGACTGGAATACCGAACTGAGCAAATGTGCTGGTCAGCTCCCAGGTGGTTGTTCCTGCCGTGATGTCCCTCATTGGTACGATTTCCGGCCAATTCGAGTGGCTGTCCACCAACACGAGGAAATATCTTCCTCGCATTGGACCTGTGAAGTCCAGGTGTACCCACTCCCAGGGATTTTGGTGTGCTCCCATGGGTGCAGGAACGCTGCCGGCTTTTCTCTCCGCGTTTCTTGGCATCCTGCGCACCGCTTCACCAGGCCTGTCATGTCCTTGTCGATTTTGGGCCACCAAACGTAGCTCCTGGCGAGCATTTTCGTTCTGGTGATGCCTGGATGGCTGTCATGCAGCTTCTCCAGCACTTGGTTTTGCAGCTTCTTGGGGATGATCATATTCAGAAAAAAACTAGCGTCTGTTCAAAAGTCCTGGCGTCTCAACGTCACCCTGTAAGATCAACTGCGAGCTCAAAAGACTGGGAGCTATTTAAACGATTTAAATAAAAACTGTTCTGAAGATCAGCTTTGTGAGTCCCGGTTTTGATGGACTCTAATTGTTACGTTTGATAACATTTTGATGTTTGCAAGTTAAAATCGGCCGGTAATTTTTGGGTGATATGGGTTTCCCGTCCTTTAAGCCCGCATTTGATTTTGAAAGGTGACCTCGAGAGGTCATGACTTTTTGACGGACGCTATTTCGCTATGTGGTGCATATTCTGGTGCCAAAAAGTTTAAAATCAGCCAGTTAGTTTTTGGTGATATTGAATTCCCATCATTTGAGCCCGCGTTGGACCTCGAAGGATGGCCTCAAGAAGGCAGGACTTTTTGACGGGCCGACGCTAGTTCTTGCGCTGGTGAAGATGTTGATGTTTGCAAGCCTAAAATCTGCCGGTAATTCTGTGGTGAAATGTAGCTCCCCGTCCTCTGAGCATGACTTTGATCTTGACGAATGACAATGTCAGGACTTTTTGGCGGACGCTAGTTCCTTCTATGGTGAAAATTCTGAGGCTGGCAAGTTTATATTCTGCCAGTCATTTTTTTTTAGTGATAGAGCGTTTCTCGTCCTTCGAGCCCGCGTTTAACCTTGAAGGATGTCCTTGAGAGGTCAGAACA